TCTGAATGCCAATAAATGTCAACTATTGACCAATAGTGGTAGCGGAACTGCAGTTCAGTCTCCTGCAGAATCTCTATCATTGCGGTATGCTGATGAAGCTCGCGATCTAGGTTTCATCGTGGTGAATGATTTTAAGCCTTCGGCACAGTGTCGCCATGCTGCCAATAAAGCACGACACGAGTTATTTCGTCTTAGGAGGGCGCTGAGTGACACTAAAGCAGAAGTATTCTTGCCGCTATATAAAGCAGTGGTTAGGCCACATCTGGAGTAGTGTTCAGGCCTGGGCACCGTACCTCCGGAGTGACGTCATTTGTATAGAAAAGATTCAGAAACTTGCGACCAGGATAATGGAAGGCCAACGAGGGAAGTCGTACGAAGATCGTCTAAGTAGCTTGGGATTATTTTCCTTGGAACGGCGTAGGTTGAGGGGGGGGATTTTATAGAGACGTTTAAGGTCATTAACGGACTTAGTGGTATTAGTCCCACCCATCTGTTTGATTTGGCTATGTCAGACCATCTGCGCGGGCATCGCCTGAAGCTCAAACAACATAGAGCTCGTTTGGACATCAGGGCAAAATTTTTTCCGAACCGAGTAGTTAACTTCTGGAACAAACTTCCTTCTGATTTAGTGGAGTGTGAGTCTGTTGAAGCCTTCAAAAGCGGCTTAGATGATTGTTGGTCTATCCTTTTTCCAGAGATATTGTAGTTGTACTGGACTATGTAGTGTATTTTGATGCTAACACATGAAAGTGCAAAGATTGCTCTTGTTCTTGTTTCATTCCTTTGCAGAAGCAAGAAGTCAATCCAACGTCGAAGTGCCGGGGGCCGCTTCACTTACCGGCACAAGAAACTGGACGCTCGTTAGGCGAAAGCCTCTATCGTCCGTTTGATCTGACCTGACCTGACCTGACCTGAACATTCTGTCCTTGGGCCGGAACTTTTCAACCTCTACAGTAATGACCTCATTGCAACCCTTCAAACCGACTGCTTAGTCAGTGCTGATGATCTCAAGCTATGATCAGAAGTAGCTAGCCTTGAGGACGCTAACAGACTCCAAACGGCGCTAGACTAGCTGCACAATTGGTCAATTAAGTGGCAGCTACCCGTGAACCGCGACAAATGTGCTGTTCTGCCGATTGGTAACCTGGATTCGTTCGGTACATACCACATTGGCGGATATCTTCTCAAGTACGTCACGTACGTAGGGGTGGGCGTCCTCGCGGTATACACAGCCCGCGCGCGACTGGTGGTGGTCGCGCGGCAGCGAAGCGCCGTTACGGCGTATAAGCTGACACCTTTCTTTCTTTCTACGTCACGTACGAGAAGCATCTGGGAGTTCTCGTGTCACGACCTTAGAACATCCCAAGACACCCTGAGAAAGATCGCGACCACAATAAGATGCTGAGTGCTCTACGTAGGTTGCTTCCCGTATCACTCCGGCAATTTTCAGAACTATTCACCTCACATGTTCGCCCGATACTCGAGTATGGGCTCACAGTCACCTGTCATCTGTTGAAATCGGTGTGCGACTTTCTAGAAAGGGCTCATATGTGTGGCCTGTAATCCGTCATGGATCTTTGAGATCTTGTTTACCCTCTTCGACTCCTAAACCTGAACTTATTCCCCCATGGATTATCCTCGGCGTCGTGGAGATCTTATTTACACGCGACGGATGCTAAGAGAAATTGGGATTGAGGTGCAAAAACACTTTCGGCTCAACGTGGACAGCTCGCCACGATGCCACAAGTAGACGCTGTACAAGAGCCAACTACTTTACGTCCGTCTAGAGGCTGCCCTATCAATTCGTGTAGTGTATGGTTGGGGCAGCCTACTGGAGATCATTGCTGATGCACCGACATAGGAAAGTTTCAAACTGTTGCTTGATTGCTATCTGATCAGTACGGCAGGGTTCTGCTGCTGCTATTGAAACGGCGAAGATCCACAGAGGAATGCAGCCTCGCAGCCAGTTGCGTCAAACCTTCATTGAATCGGGCTTGACGGACCTGACAAGGGTCTCCCCTGTTGCTCTCTACACACCAGTGAACTAATGAATAAACAATGTAAAGCGGTGTTATGACCTCACTTAAAGTATTGCGTGCAGACTTGGGCTTCATACTTCGCAGAGGAGGAGATGTGAAGCCAGTGTGGAACCTCATATGATGAACGACTTTTGAGTTTGGGACTGTTTTCTACTCAACGACGCAGATTTTGCAGAGGCCCAGCCTGTAGGTATCTTTGCATTAGTCGCGTCAGACCAACTGCGGGGACGTCAACTTAAGCCTAGGCAACAGGGATCTATGTTGGATTGGAGGGCGAAATTCCTTGTCTCATGGTTTGCATTTGGAACAAACTTCGCTTTACCTTGGCTGATTGCAATTTTGTATATACCTTCAAAAGAGGCTGCATTTTCTTCTAGAATTATGGTAGGTTTGCTGAGATCTCGTGACACAAAAAATACAGAGATCACTCTTATTTTTGCTTCACTTTTTTGACGAAGCAAGGGTAGTCAGACATTTAAGTGCCAAGGAGCATGGTTTGTTTGCCGGTACAAGAAGCAGGAGGCTCGTTAGGCGGAAACCTATTTCGTCCTTGGCACCTGACTTGACCATATCCATAGAGGATCACCAAGGTGACCACACGTAGTCGTTGTTGATGTGGTCTACACTAATTTCATTCTAGGAGAGGAACCCGAAAGTTAGCCATAGTAAAGCTTCAATCTCAATACTGTGGGCTCGACCCTAGGTCACAAATGGAGGCGGTTCAAACCAGGGGGCTTCCACGTTCGCTCCAGTGTTACCCTATCTGCCCGTGTAGTGTGACTGGACCAGCCTTCCGGAGCAAGTTGTTAGCCACTATTGGAGGACTGCTTCGGACTGCTGTTGTACTCCCAATCGAGGAGGGCACTGGGATCTTATTACTTGCATCATCACTGTGATGAGCTCCTGAAGATTGTCGTCTCGCAATGACACTCATCAAATCTTCTGTGAATCGAAGTTGGCGGAGCTTACAATGCTATCTTAGAATACGACCGTCAAAGTCTACCAGAAAAGTGAGTACCGATTTATAATACTATTTGGGATGATATAACCCTAATACTTACTGTGGGAATATGTTTTTTTTAGATGGTACCATACCAGCTGTTGTCACTGGGGCACGAACAGAGGGCTCCTGATAAGGATAACGAATTGTGTAAGAGACGTAGATGGAAGGACATGAAAAGTGGACTCAACACTATCCTGTTTTCGCTCATCTACCCTGGTGCGTACGGCTTTTGGGACTACATATTCGACACTGAGTGACGGTAGGTGCAGGATGTGGTTGGAGTCTTCTGTTTTTGGCTATATGTGAGCGGAGCTCTTATCACGATGTCTACGTTGAGGAGCAAGAGCGATTAGGACCCATATTATCTTGGCTCAGAAACATGACTACAAAACAGCAGAAATGCAACAGTTGTTTCTCTGATGTACTAGTCTCACCAGGGATGTGCCACTACAGTTTTAACTTCCAAACAAGATTACAGGAAGCTGTTTTTCTCATCTGTAAACAGCATTCAATCTAGTAACGTCATCTCTATGTATCTTAAATGATTGAGGAGGTACATAGGCCGGATCGTCATATTAAGATCGGGTCTCGTTGCATGAACGGCGTACTACGTTGTGGTCTCATAGTGGTGGGTGCTCTTATACACATGATCTTGCAACCCGCTTGCTGCTCAGTTTACAATCACGCTGTCCTTGGAGCTTGCTTACTGGCTCTTTACCAAGAATTAGGGGATTGAAAATGGAAGGATAGAAGTGAAGTTGGAGCGGGACACCTAGGATGAACAATCGCAAGAAGGGGAATAAGGAGGTGGGAAGGTCCGAGCAGTAACATCCCAATCCTTATCCACTCTGCTCGATGCAGCATATTGGTTGCCGTTTATTATCCTCTGCGATCGCAAGAGCTTGTTAGAAAGAAAAGTCATGATGTGGTATTGCTTGGACAGGATGCTGTCAGGTTTCCTCGCAAGGCATCGGGGTTTTGGCACTGGACTAAAGAGAACCCGTTTTATGGAGTAAGGAGGCATCCTCTCCCGAACCTGGAGGACCAGCCGAGTGTCTGACCTCTAACCATTGACCAATCTGGTATTATTGACACTGAATCTACAAAAAGCACCACCCAGCATAACTCAATGGATCGCTGATGCACACAAACCATCGCACCACGTTAAGGTCCAGTCTCATCGTGACGGACCGCTCAGCACCATTATGTCACGCACCAGGCTGCATCACGTGTTGCACATGGTCAAAAGAAACGAAAGCTTTCACTTCAAAGTTGGCGTCTGTTGGTGGATCCCCACTGTCTAGCTTGGGTCCTAAGGATGATGAACACGTTTGGTTGGACAATAGCGTTTGTGTTGTTTCTTTTCCACCCCTCCCTTTTAGATTCCCTTCCAATTCCTATCACATATGAAAAGCATAATATAATGTTTAACATTATATTACTTGCTTTTAATCTTTTGTGGTGTAACTTTTAGTATCTTATCTTTTTATTGCGGCACATTAGCTGAGGTGTGTTTTTCACCCTTAGCTAACGTGTATTGATGATAATACTGACTGGCTTTTGACACGGTATAGCCTCACTGCAACTTGACAGGTTTTAATTTGCCACGCTGATCTTGTTCCACGGTTTTTTCCGGAGACTGCGGTGCCACAACCAGCAACAATCTATCTCTTCATCTAGTTGCTTTGCTATTTTTGCACGACAACAGCTAACCAATCCTCTATCATCCCGGCTGTTATCACTCAACTCCTAAAAGTTGCATGAGTATGTGATAAAGTCATCTGATTCTAGAGGAGACGAGTTTCCCAACGATTATTCTCGAACTTGAACATCCTGTGTCCGAGCCAGTTATCTACTGTGTGATCATTGACTTCAGTCGAATTTCGCCAATTCAGCAGTTGCTTATTGTCCACCCTCTTGTATTGACTGTTTCTCTTCCAGGTTTTAGTCACGCTCACATGCCAACGGATGAGTTCTTTCAAATTCCCACCGTGAAGGATCTGCAAGATCTTATTAACGAGGCAACTCGTAATATTCCAAATGTCTCAGGAAAACAGCGTCTCATAAACGCTTGTGCCAAGGAACTGCGCGCGTTTCAACAGGTCAGTTCCGTTTTGTCTTCCTCTTGCTGCCTCAGCGCACCTCATATGACTACGTTATATTCCACCATTTCCTCTTGCTTACACTGGCGCTGATGTTTTTACACTTGGGGATAACTAATGTGGAATGTGCTACCGCAGTTCATTATTAGGTACACATAATGCCATCACACACGGTGGGGTGGTTTTCTTTAAATTATCTCTCTATGCTTCCGACAAAGGAAATTGTGAGTTTCGCGCTCCGAACTGTGAAATGTTCCAGCACTTCCATTCTCTCCTTTTCCAATCTTTATTCTTTTATTGCTACCACCCTACTTTATTCACGTGACTTGACCTTGTACGGTACCGTAGGATGCTATGGTGATTCTGTCGTGTATCGCACATCGCCTGATTCCCATATCTTTGATATACAAATTTTATCTGCCATTATCTTGAGGTCACTGAATTTAGCTATGCTAATGATATTTCCCAGTTCTGTGACGACCCCCGGAGCATGCATGCTATCCTAAGAGGCTGGGCGATTGAGGTTACCAAGTATTACTTGACTTTTTCCTGCACGAAATGCAAAGTTCTAATCCAGGGTTGATATTCACCCGCCCAAGTGCTGCCGTCGCGACAAGATTGGACCCTAACGTAGTACGATGGTACTTCAGGGATTCATTAAGCCATGCTAGGTGGTATTTTTTGCGTTTTCAGAGCCACTCATGTCAGATTAGTCAATGGTTAGTGTCCAGAAAAGCTGTCTCAGGACCTTCCAGGTTGGGTTAGGAGTAGCTCAGTAGCAAAACCTCTACCTTGTGATCAGATTTCCACCAAAGGCTTTGGTTGAGAACCCTAATCGTCCTGTTTATGCCTGGGTAACCTAGCAGCATCCTGCTCACGCAATACACTTCACAGATATTCCCGTCTTACTTCTCCACACGTTTTAATCCTTATCGTCCCATTCCATGTTCACTACTTTGTTTTCAACCCCATTAATCATTGATCTTGCTTCGATAGTCGAGTGCCTTTTAGTACCGACTCACACGCAATCTTAGTGCGTCGCCACGACCCGGTCAACAAGTCAGCGTCGAACCAAGCGGACAACACCAGTTCATCAGTTACTGTTTGGATTCTTAGCTCCTCTGACAGCCATGCTTCAACATGCACACTTCCTTACAGAATGCCCAACAGGTAGCACTTGTCAGAACACTAAAGACTATGGATCGATATCTGCTATTTCTCGGAAACTCGCCTGCGGATTCTAGCTCTGTGCTGACCCTACCATCATCCACATGTGACACTGGTGGCACTTTCTCATTGCGCTTGTTTTGAGATGACGCAGCTTCAAATGCCGATCAGACCAGTGTGGCTTTTGTTCTGAATCCCCTGGTTGAAGCTTCCGCATTCGATTGGATTTCGGTCAACAGCCGGATATACGCCGCCAGACTGGCCGGCTCGTTCCAGGCTTCAAGGTTACACGGAGGCAAACAGAGCATTTTCTCATTGCTACCCACGCCCCTACGAACCCTGGCGTCGATTCGGTAGAATATGACTTATATAACCAACTCATTGCGTTCCTTCGTTACACTAACAGTACGGATACCCTAGTGTTGGCTGGTGACCTGAACACCCAACTTGCAAAACTGTCTACTGATGGGCTGCATCTTGGTGGTCAACACAATGTAGGCTACCAATAATAGTAACAACGAGCATTTGCTACACCTGTGTTAAGATAATTGTCTATTCATCGCAGGCACTACGTTCCGACACTGTACTCGCCGGCAATTGACATGGCGCCTACCAGCCATAGGCGCAAATTGATCACATCGCGATCATTTGCCGCCAGAGAGGCTGTGTCCAAAACGGTCGTTCGATTTGGAGCCTAAGCGTAGACCCCTATCACCCATTTGTATGTCCCAGTTTCATAGTTCGCTGTGGTGGATGCATGCGGCGACACTGTGAGCGATCCGTCTCCTCGGACCTGCCCTCACGCCCATAAGTAGAACGTAAAATCCTACTGCTGAAATTTAATAAGGCCGCAGGCGAAGATAGACTTCTTCCATCCGCTTTTCAATTTCAGGGGACCAGCTCTTGTGGATGATTTGCGAAACTTACTGAAAAAGCTGCGGGAGTAGGAGAATGTCCCGACCGACTGGAGCCGTTCCGTTAGAGTCTCAATTTTCAAGAGAGGATCACTTTCGTACTGTGGCTGCCATATAGGAATCAGTCTGATCTCAATTACCTCTACATTGCTTGAGTCTGCCGTTCTCCACAGACTGGCTGGCACTCGTGAAAGCCAAATTCGCGAGGAGCAAGTCTGCTTCCGTCCAAACCGGGGCTTTATCGACTACATCTTCACATTACATCGGATTCACTTTCACGTGGCCTTATATGATTGATCGTTGTAGGAGGTGTAACACACCAAACATTTTTTCCACTGATCGATCGTACACTATTTGGTTCTTATTCTAATGCCACCTACTCTACTGTTATATTTACCAACGCTCGGGTCACCACTTCGTTCGGGGAGGTACGACGCTGACGTTAGATCTCGGTCGTTTCATTCGTTATTATCCGTTTGTAGTGTAGTACGAATTCAGTCTGCTGTGTTCGACCTTTTCTGCCTGCTGGTATCCGCACTCGGCAACACACGCCGTTTCGGACTGGTACCAGTCCCTTAAAGTTGACGAGCCGTACTTTCCATTCTCCCAAAGTGAGCTCATCGCACCACCCCCTGTGTTCCTTTTCTGTTGCACGCACATGTGTTTCATTAGAACTGTGCCCATTCAGACACTCTTTTGAGCTCGTTATTTCGGCATGTTGTTTACAGACGAGTCAAATACACGATCGAATCCATTACCAAGACAATAATGTTAATCTTACGATGAATAGGAAACATTATCAACAGCAACTTCCACTTTATTGCTTTTTATTTTTGTTTTCGTGTAATCTTCTCTTTTTCTTCCTAGCTACCTTCTGATTTGCTGGAGCATGCTTTATCATGTTCAAATTTACCTCACTTAAGGGCACTTGTGGATTTGGCTCGTGTGTATAGTGACCGCCTCGTCGGCATTCTCTCCCAGTTTCGCTCACCGTTTCCGGGGACATGCTGTTCCGAGTCCAACTTGCACACGTCAACGGATTCAGCTGCATTCAATATCGCCGTTCATCCTGGTACGCTTGATTCCATCACTCACTTTTCATGACATTTCTAGGCTTCTGAGAAAACGGAATTTTTGTCTATGCGCCATTGTGCAATGTTTTCCTACGAGATAAGAGCCTACGACTCCTCTGTGCCACATCCGCTCTTGTTTAACCTACTGCAAGTCTAGTAAAGGATTGCCACTTATTCGCTTGCAACCCTTACATGTGCCTGCACTGTATCAAGTTGGGCGAAAGTGCGAGGTGACCTGGTTGTTGGTGTGATATAAAGGCAGGAAGAAATCAACCGGAAGATTTGCTAAGGGTGATACCGTCCGTTAGTGATTAGTAGAGGGATTTATTGGGTTTTGGTGAAGATTCGTCGCAGCTAGCTGGTACCATTTGTCTTCGTGGATGGGGTCTCGCGGTGGTTCATATCGGTGGTTGGGAAATACCGTGCATAACGCAGTTGTGCGGTTAGCGGTGCTGCTGCATTCGGCTTCTTGCATTTTGCTATTGATATTCCATCTAGCTCAGTTTTGTTCATATATTTTTACCTCTTTTCTCTGCGCCCTGCACTCTACCTCATTTTCTCACCATCGCTGCTTATTGTTATCCTTGCAATGCGAGCTTTGGCAACTGGATCCACCGCACTTTGTTGCTCGGATCATAGTTGTTTATCTGGACCTATCTCTACTTACATGATGCTGGGAGAGTTGCTTCCTTCTGCGCTTTCTGCGTTCTCAACCCTCGAACACAGTGACCATGTGATATCAATACGACCTTTCTTTAAATTTCGACCCATTACACTATATGCCTAATCACGTGGGTACATACCAGCTCCGCCTACTCAGTTGCGCTGCTTCGAAGGACGTGCTAGCTCAAAGCGAACGTGTGGATTATATCGGATTTTTCTCGTTATTGCACGTTACACGGATCATCTATCAGAGCAACATCCTAGTGTTTTCTGCTTTGTTTTTGTACCGGAACATTCTCTCATACCATTGTGAATTAAAGGATATACTCCTTTATACATCTACCGACACATCAGGCAACCATCAGCATTACATCCATACACCGCACCGAAACTTCGATGCCACGCCTAGGCAGACGACACTGTGAGGTCGTTCGCACCCACACAAGCTCGAACGTGTCAACTGTGGACTAGTTGCCTGGCTGCCGGACCAATCGGCCGCCTGCCGGCAGTTAGGTGCCGTGACAGCACCTAATGCACGCCGATGGAGACGGTCAACGGGTATACATAGGACACGACGTAGCCAATCCAATCGGTCCAACTTTACCAGACAATCCTATGCGGTACCGATGAGTTTATTGCCAACACCAGCTGGCGAATCTAATTATCGCCCCCCCTGTGTTTTCAACATATATGTGCTACACACCACAAGTACAAATGCTCAAAGACAACCAGGCTATTAGTGTCTTCCGCTTGGAGTGACTAGGCCTCTGATCCAAACAATACCAGCTCTGTTATCGCAGTGTTTTACAGTTTATGTTTGACTGATAGGTTGATACATCGCCGTCCCTATAGGTGCCCGAGACTACACGGGTTTTGCTAGTACGTGCAGTTGCATTCTGAGCATTGTGACCGCCAGAGATGATTCAAGTGTCACTTCGTATAATCATCTCGAGATAGCTATAGCCGATGATGTATCAACCCAGCCCTGCATTGCAGCAGCTTACGCTTTGAAACACTGGCAGACATACGGGAGTGTAGGTTGCTATGTATAAGTTGAACAGGAAGCTTCATGCAAGCATTTCCCCTCACGAATTTCAGTATGGCAAGCAAAGATCGCATTTTAATGGAATATACTGAATTCAGTAATTTCGCATATTCTGCTCAGCAGTTTACTTACAGGAATTTCCCTTCACAAACTTTAAAATAACAAGAAGAACCAGAATTACAACAGAATAATCTGAACTCAGATATTTCGCGTCTTCTCATCAGCTATGTATGTTACGATTATTGCCGCACAGTCAGCGGAAACCACAACACATTTCTGGCAACGGTCAGCTGCACGGTAGCAGCAGGTTAGCCGTACATTCAGCGGCACCACAACAGATTTCTGGCGACGGAGGTGGGATACCGATTCAAGATGGCTATTTCAACAGAAGAGCTGAAAGCTATTTTGCTTCAACAGCAGCAACAATTCGAGGCCTCACAGCTGCGTATGATCGAGACTTTCACTCGGACACTGTCACTCCAGTATACAGCCATCGCTTCGGAGCAAATGCAAACGCTCCTTCAGGTCCATCAGTCAATGTTTGAGGAATCACGGCGGCAATTTACAGAGCTGCTGACACAGAAGTTGAATGTTCAAGCAGAATGTGAACTTTAACCAGAACTCACATCAGAGCGCATTGCAGGTGAAAGTTATAAGCAGCTCAACTCGGGATTAGACACCACAAAGGTTGAAAATTCAACTGCCAGATGTGATCTCCAGATCCGCCGCACAGCTAATGGAGGCCACAATGTGAATCAAAACGTGACAAAGCAAAAGCCCCCCACTGCGATTATTGCCGCATTTCGCAAGGATCAAAGCGCACTAAGTGGTCCTTTGTCTAGACCGAGAAATTGCCTGCGAACCGAAATGCAAGGGTCTGCAACTCTGTGCAATGGTCCAAATACACAAACTAACAGCTCGCAAAACTGTGGTCATTGAGCACCTGCGAGAGAGGTATACAGTAGTTTTTCGGAGAAGCCTTGCAACACCAATGGTTGACCAGGAGCTTTATCGCTTAGGGAGAACTGTTCTCCACCCGATGAACCACTCACTTTGGGACCCAGGAGTGACCTAATGTGCTTTGACCATTGGCCATAAAAAGGAAACATATTTGTAGCCACGATGGTGCACTAATCGGGTGTGGAGACACGTCATCAGAATGCGCCTGGACCCATGACGGATGTCGCGCGTCATTTTACGCGAGGGTGGTGTTACGGAGAGTCAGCGTTCAGGCCGAGAGCAGTGCCGCAACAGGGGATCGATCCACAATTAAAGATCGAACGCCAACATAGATCAAAACGCGAATCTATGAGGAATCAACGGCAATTCGGACCATGAACTTGAACTGTTTGAGTTGTGTTTATTAATATTCATTAGCATCTCCAATTTTGTTTTTAGTGGTTTCCTACAACCTATTTATTGCACCATGCTCTCTTGCAATAGAATCAGAATCCGGACCCCTCGGACCGGCTGGTCTTGGTGTTCTCATTTCGTGACGGGTTGAACTGGTTGGGGACGTCACAGTAGATTCAGGCAGGTTATCCGCAAAGTCAGCGGAAACCACAACACATTTCTGGTAACGGTCAGCTACGCGGTAACAGCAGGTAAGCCGTACCTTCAGCGGCACCACAACATATTTTTGGGTAGCCATAACAATGTACAGATAATCGGTGAAATGAGTATGCTGTACGCACATTACGGTAGAACAATGCGTGAAATCGATAACTTCACCAGGACAAGGCGAAAGTAGTTCCAAACTCCGTCTGCTTACGTAAGTTAGATTACAGCCGATGAATCGCTGAAGCCTCTAGAAATCGTAGCAGACGAGCAGTGCTCTTGAACGACTCAAGCGTGTGTTGGCATGTGGCAATCAAGGATATACTGGGCGATGGAGTTTGCGGACAGCTTAGGGCCATTTGCCACCAGGTTACGTGGGACCTGTTATGAACCCCTCTTGGACAGACTACGCCCGGATGATGTCACCTTGATTGGTGACGAAACGTTTGCAACAAAATTGCCATGCTCAGCGAACAGTTCCACCGCCAGCCTCCACTCAGTTCGGCTGGTACCTGCTACCGTAAGTACAACGATCGAGGTAGATGCAAGAGGCGTAACTTTAGTCTAGCCTGTTCTGATCGGATTTGCAGAACAACCTTTCAAACTGGTGGAGTATGACTAGCTCGGCCGCATAATAGCATTTCTTAAAAGACTAGCAGAGACGATATCGAAATCGCCTGTCATTTTGATCCCCTTTGGGTAGCAGCGTGATGAATACCTTCTTCCTAGAGACGTCGGTCTTGCGTTTCTCGATTGTTTCGTTTGAGTGGAGCTTACTTGCTTAATTGTAGGGAACAGTATCTCGACTTTAGCATTTTCTGCCCTATAAACTACTAAACGAACACTCGTACGCACTATTTTCGCAGGAGATCTTGATATGCGCCGGATGGACAATTAACAACGCGCCGCAACTTGTCTCAGCTACACTAGGAGAGAACGAGTATTCCACTCAAACGAGAGCACAATCGAGAAACGTAAGACCGACGTCTCTAAGAAGAAGGTATTCATCACGCTGCTACCCAAAGGGGATCAAAATGACAGGCGATTTCGATATCGTTTCTGCTAGTCTTTTAAGAAATGCTATTATGCGGCCGAGCTAGTCCCACTCCAGTTTGAAAGGTTGTTCTGCAAATCCGATCTGGACAGGCTAGACTAGTTACCGCCTCCTGTATTTACCTCCTTCATCATACTTGCAGTAGTAAGTACGTGGGCCAAACTGAGTGGAGGCTGTCCAAAAGGATTTCAGAACATGTCCCACGTAACCTGGTGACAAATGGCCCTAAGCTGTCCGCAAACTCCATCGCCCAGCATATTCTTGATTGCCCCACGTGCCAGCACTCGCAGGCACGGTTCAAAATTCGTAATCGACGGAGCACTGCTCGTCTGCTACAATTTGTTGATGTTTCAACGATTCGTCTGCTGTAACCCAACTTATGTAAGCAGACAGAGTTTGTGACTACCCTCGCCTTGCCCTGGTGATGTTATCGATTGGCTTTATTTAAACTGGAAGGTTTCACGCATTGTCCTACCGTCGCGTGTACAGCATACTTATTCCCCAGATTGTCTTTACGTAGCTGATTTGATGACGCGAAATATATGAATTCAGCTTAATCTGTTGAAATGTTGTTTCTCCTTGCTATTTTGAAGTTTACATGCAATTTGTGGAAAGGTCAGGTTCCAACTGAAAGTGCAGTTTTATCGGCGAAATTTAACGCTTTTAAGGTATTCATTCCA